CATTCTATAGCTTTGCCCGTCAATCTAAATAGAACAGAACAATTTCCTATTTATCACTATATACGTAAAACGGTGGTGGTAGTAGGTGGCGTATAAGGGGGCAATTCCTACCCTGTGCTCGGAGTTGAACTAACTCTTCATTAAGGGAATCCACAGACTCTTCCAGTTGCCTTTTTTTCTGTTCCACATTCTGAAGATATTCAGTCAATGACTTGATCTTTGCTTCATGCTTGTAAAATGGAAAGATTCATTTACTTTGGAACAAGGTATCATGGAATTAAATCTGCATAAACAGTTTATACTTCTTTTTAAACAAGTAACCTGATCTCAAAACAAAAACGGTGCCAACTAAACTCTTAATATGACTACTCAAGTAGATCTGTAATGTAGCCTGTAAAACAATGTCTTTATTCTGGATTGGAATGAAATCCATTTTTGGCTGGGAGAAGAGATGTTTTGAATGTTAAATATTATCAGAGGCAAGACAGTCCCACTGTATTTAGAAGACTGCACTGAAATATGCATCTCCTGATTTAAAAAAAGATGACCATCTGTATGTAAAAACAAAATATAGAAAAATTAAATCGTCTATCTAGATCACAATTTTCAGAGTTTTAGAACAGATAAGTAATGTGACTTCTAACAATTGCATTAAAATTGCCTTTCTCACATTAGAAGTAAATTTAACCTGCTATGTAAGCCTACTGTAATCTTACTGTGCTATTGCTACCTCTCCCACTTCCAACTTGCCGCATTTGTAGGAAGAGTGCTCACTAGCTACTGCTTCTGTAAGACTTGCATTTGTAAAGGATCCTGTGATGGAGAACATATGGATCCCAGCATTTAATACAAATGCTACAAAAGCATTATCAGAGTATAGACACTGTAGAAGTTTTGACATAATTTTGACATCCTGTCGCACAATTACTCAGAAGCATCCAAACTGAAGAGTACTGAAGATACAGCTGAGTCTTGTGGCTGCTCAATCACAATGTAGTTTGTTAGGTGTCAAGAAGAAACCGCAACTTTTTTTTCCCCTCTAGCAGGTTAATGAATTCAAAAGAATGTTTAAGAAGTACAGTGTAAAGAAACATTTACCTGTGAGATACGGAGCTGGCAGGCAGCCAACTCCTTTTCATTTTCTTCCATTTTCTTATTGCTTTCTGCTTGTGTGCCTTCTAACTGTTTGCAACGTTTCACCATTGTTTTTACTTCTGATTTCATTTTACTAATGTACAGTCTTGCAACGGTGAATTCTTCATCTATCATGCCAGTTCCCTCAGGCTGCTGAAAAGTGTGGAATGACACATTTAGAAAGCTCAGATAATGAAACAGAATTAACAATGAGCTGGAGCAACTTAATGCCCAGCACACATCCCCCACCTCGACTGATAATCAGAGCATTTAAACACCAAAACGCAACTTTTAAGTTTTCTGATTATATAGAAGTTTGCATAAAGGTAATGAGCTGCTCACTATAGATTTCTAACACTGCTTACATTCTTGTCCTACAGTGATCTTCTAGATTCATCTTTAATTTCAGTTCCTCATTCCATTTTTAATAATTAACTTTTTCATTGTCACTGTAGGTCAGCATTAAACTTCCAAGACAATGCTGTTGAAACTGCCATATGAAATGGTTGTAACAACAGCATGAATGACAACAGTACTTCAGAAAAAAAATCATACCTGCTCTTCCCTGTCTTTTCACAAGCACATTGTGTTTGGGACCTGATAAGTCTGAGCATAAGCAAGGGATAAGCTTATGCTCAAATTATTAGTATACATGAGGCTTCCTATACTGGATATTTTTACTGTATTAAGAAAACTGACCCCACCTATCGACAATATGTATGTGTAATACATGGCATTAAAAATTGTACTGACTAATTCTTACCTTGACATCGTTATTTCCCACTGCGATTCCTATCTCTGCAAGATCTTTTAGTAAGGAGGCCATCATCTCTGTTGCTCGTTTCTTCTGATGGTTGGTCATTTCTTTGAGTTTCTGAAGCTCCGCATCTATACTGGCTAGAGTGACCTACAGTAAAAGAAGTTACGCTTTAATAAACAAAGCACGCTCTTGTTTTTAGAACTAGTGTCATATTATTTATTTCAATACAGCAACATGTGGTTGCATATCATTATGTCCCATTTTTTATGTCTAAAACTAGATTGGTATCAACCTATGTGAATACACCACACAGTAATAATTTAGAAGTCCTACAGTAACAGTATTTCTTCTGAAAGAAATGTAAAATACTGGGGACAGAGGCCTTCAGCTCACAAAATGTAATCTTACAGTTCTGCAACAAAAGTCACGTCATTGTTGAACAGCTACAACTGTTCAACAACTGAGTACAACTGAGTTATATAAGGTTAAATATTGCAGAGGATTGCATTTATAGGAAAAAGGTACATAAACAACAATTCAAACACTCTTCACCGTATTTTGGTAAAGGAAAATAATTTCATCCTTACCTGCAGAGCTCTTAACTCTTTCCTACCCGCAAATCAAAAAATGGACCGAGTTCCAAAAGTTCATAAGCACTACACTTACTCTAGAGCAGTTTTTCAGTTACTTTGAGCTGCTATGGTTGTAATGGCTGCAGCTCAGCAGCTTGCACGCTCAGAAGTTGTCTGCTCCTTTGTTCTACAGTTTTAAAAAAATGCCATTAAGTTTTACAGCAGGAAAGTTTCAGTCAGTTATGCCAAAGGATGGTTACAGCATGGGTTAGCTGTGATAGACTAAGACCACCAAAATGTCTTAGTTTTACTACATCTCAGAACAGTTGTGGCTTTCTTGTGGACTGAGTTATTCATGGCACTTGATGTTAGTTATAATATCAAGAATCCCTTGATTATATTATATATAAACTAATTAAACAATAACAATGCAAAAAATCTAACAAAAAAAAATAAAGCACACTTCAGAATCACACAGACGTACAGCTAACTTATTCCACCAAATTTTAAATGCTGCTCATAATAGGAAAACTGTCAGACGACCTTAAAGTGATTAAATTATCAATAAATATTACTCAGTTCAGAACACTTAGAAGTTTAAAGAGAGGTTTCATGATCTCACAAACATAAATTTTAATGCCAGTGTTCCATCTAGTCAAACCTTACTAACTGAAAATTGAAAGCCACATTCACTAGAAGACTCAGACCCACTGAAATTGTCATCTTCAGGAACAGAGAAGAATGAGACTTGCACCATCGCATATTCTGTCTGCAATTCCAGCAAACAAGCTGATCCTTTCCAGTACTTAGAATTTTAGGGGAGTGGGTTTAAAAGTGTTTAAAAGTGCTGGAAGTCTGTCAAATAACTTGCTACCAAAATTGTCTGTCAATTCAGAAACTACGCAGACATGTGAGGAGACATACGGTACGCATCCTGTGGGACTGATGCTGCATCTGTATTTTAACCAGAGTGATCTTTTGGAATATGTCCTTAAGTGTCCAGGTCTACCCTGTTCAGAAAGTAAAATCAACTGCCTATTTTTGAAGGCATCCAGATGAGTTATATTTCACATGCCATAAATACCGCATGCAAACACACACTCCTTTCAAGAAAAGCAGATCTCAAGTGAGGATTACTCTAACTGCACCAGAAAGACAAGCAAAACTGAGTCAGATCACCAGCATGTAATAAAGCATTAACTTCCGATACCTACGATTTCTCTGAATATTCTTCAGGTAGTAAAATGCCACAGGTACTGAAGAGGAGAGTTATCAAGGTCAATATTCACTGTACATTTTTCTGAGGCTTACTGCTTTTAGAAAATCATCCTTTGCTAAAACTAAAAGTTTTAGACTTAAGCTCACGTTTTCCCTGTGAAAAGCCTTTAAGTGACTTTGAGCAAGAAATACAGGTAAGGCGAGAAAAGTTACACTGAAGACTGCCAATAATTTCTTATTCCACTTTCATACCGATTTTTGATTGAGTTCATCACTAAGCAGTTCGTATTCCTTCGCCTTATCTTCTACTTCCTGAGACTTCTGATCATAATTCACAGCCAATTCTTCAAGGGCTTGTAGCACCTCTTTCACTTCCTCTTTAGAGGCATCATTTTCAGCCTGAAGGCGATTCAACTCTGCTTGCAGGTTGTCTTGGTCCCGTCTGGTTGATGCTAGTAGCTACAACATTGATAGAGATTTATTTAGAATTACAACAACAAACAATCATCAAGAAAATTCCATGTATAAGCTGAATCTTATTAAAGCTTTGAAGTACTACAATAGCTTACATCTACATTTTTAGCATCTAGCATTGTGCAAAAAGGATGCCGAGGACAGGTGCAGTGAGGGTATAATGAACAATTACATTGATTATCTATATCCGTAGTTCTTTAGCTTTTAAAGTATTTTCAAAACAGAAATGACGACAAATCCAGACTCATAAGGACAGCAACCAGAAATGCACATGGAATATCGCAAGTTCTCAAAAAGCCACTGAAAGCTACCAATGAGTCTGAAACTGTCAACAGGCCAGGGACTAAACTTCCAGCATTTTAACACTGCTAGCTGCTGAAGAATAACTAGTGAACAGTCACTGAAGAGGCAGATTTATTTATTTAAGATTAAACAGTAGCTCCAACTTCCTGAGTCCTTGACCCATTTCGTTCTTGTCATGTACACAAAGATCCTTAGAATCACAGAATGGTTAGAGTTGGAAGGGACCTTAAAGATCATCTAGTTCCAACTCCCCTGCCATGGGCAGGGAAACCCTCCACT